ACCAGATCAGATGTTTACGATTTTAGAGTCTTATGGAATTTCTTGTTATTCACGTCACCGGAGAAAGCGGGAATACGCTGAAAATTGTACACTGATCGTGTAGGTGCAGGGAACGGGAATCGGGGCAGCCGCCAAAACACATTCGAGCTCGACCTAGTCAGCTCGGTCTGCCTTGGTTCTTATCGATCCACCTTGTATAGGCTGTCTCCACTCTTCCGAAATATTGCCTCGATAACTACGAGATGGACATAGCATTTTCAATTGCCGAATTCGATAAATCTTGATCGTGATTCGAATTTTTCATTTTAAATTTCATGTTCCGATTAATTACAGATATCTCAGAAGATCTAGAATATTTCTAAAATATTTTTTTGACAAATGGTACATCACATTTATTTTTTATTTACTATATAGTTATATTTTACAGTTATTATTGATTATAGAATCATTATTACATCGAAATGTAAGAATTGTTTTTTTTCTTTCTTTTTTTTTACTTCGAATGGAATATAGTCATCATTTCTCGTTGCACAAGAAATATCGATATTTTCCTATTTTCTTATAGTAATATATTTTTTTTGCAATAATATATTCTTGCAGTAGTATATCTCACTATTGTTTTATTTCTATAAATTTTTTGTAAAGGTATGGTCACATTTGCACTTTTGTTTACCATCTTGGTATAATAACGTCATGGTGATCAACAACCATTGTCTCTCCAACACATGATTTATCGATTCCTCTTTCGATTGTTACAAGTCCCTTTGATCACGGAGTAGATAAAATCTGCGATAAATGAGCGAGATAATGTACGAGAAAGACAAGTTTCTTCCCATTATTGCCTATGTTATTTTTCTCAACTGCTCACGTTCTGGCTTGTGCTTATAGAACGACCCGATTTCGTCATCTTGACAAGTAGATACCCGCATACCACGTAACTTACAAGCGAGAATGACTGAGAGAAACGTCATCGCCGAGAAACGGTACACCAAAGTGTCCAAAGTTTCTTTACGATATCGATTATTACGATGAAATATGTGTTATCATCGTGATTAGGGATCCTTTACTTTGTAGACATTCGGAATTATGACACTTTCGGGACTCTCGAGAAGAGAAAATATTTTTTCGCAACTTTCACCAACGAAATTGCTTCAGTTCGATTTGGAAAATATCGAAAACTGTTCGCTCACAAGCAGATACATCTGAATACATGTTCTGGCAATGTACAAGTTCAAAACAATTTATATGTCGAGTGTTTTCTCTCTCTCTCTTTTTCTCTCTCAAGTTTTTATATGATACACCTAGGTTTAAACTAATTGTAAATCATTTTTATTAATTAAACTTTTGTTAAGATATATATTAAATTTAAATTTTTGATTATTTTTTACAAATGATATTTAATTTATTGAGAAATTTTATAACAGTGGAAGAAATATGCAAAAATGTGCCGTTAATGTTTTTTGCGCTTCCTCGCAAAATTAGATGTGTTCATAAACAGAGATTACTGTGAATATGGATGTGCAATAGGTAAATTATCACAGGAGGAACAGTAACATAACAAAGCGGAATAAAATAACACATATATACATATTAGTAGATGAATAGGTAGAGTAGACCAAGGTTGCGATCACGATTGTGAAACTCACGATCTGTTAGTATAGGATGAAAATTACATATATAATCTTGGATTTAAAAAGAAAATCTGTATACCATTCTTGATTCCAAGGTGAAAATATATATTTCTTCCTTCAGATATTTTCATCTTGTTTTTATAAAGAAGAAGAAAGAGAGAGAGAGCGTATTCTCCCATTTCAGCAATTTTCTATTTTCAAGTAGTTATGTTGTTTGAACGAAAAGAATTTATAATATTGGTCAAATTAATTCGCATCGATTAAAAAGTATTGCAATTAAAAAATATGTATATCTTGTTATTACAATTACATTGTTTATTTTTTAATTTAAAGATAGAAAGTAATAGTATAGAAAGTAATAAAATTATAAAAATTGATTATTGAAGAATTTACCAAATATTACTCATTGATTTTATTTGTGTAATCTCCAGAAATGTCGCGCAGAGACAACTGCAATCAGCGATGTTGAACATTACGCGCTTTGCGCACTTGTGTACCACATATCGGGTGATTGCGGGTTAATTAATTGCCGTAATAAACGGTCAATGTGGTCCGCTAATTCGAGAGTGCCCTCGCACTCGGTCCTTTTACAATTTACTATGTTTCCGACAAACATAGTATAATTTCGCGTTATCGCAGATTACATTCTTGTAATCTACGATAACGCGAAATTCCTTTCGCGATTTCAAAGGATTCAAGGAATGTAGAACTCTATTATTTATTATTTTTGTTAAATTGCGCCTGTTGCAATTCATCTATTTTAAATTAGAAACTCAATTAAATGTATCTTTAAAAATAAATATTTATACAGAAATTATAATGTTATATAAAATATATAAAATATCGTTACATAATAATAAGTGATCGAGAAATAATTTTTTTTGGGTAATTATAATGTAAGAGAGGTCAAAATATTAATAGCAATTGATTAAATTAGATATGGAGTAACATTAAATTATTTCATGACAGATTCGAGTTTAATTTACCTTTAACGAAAGTGCTGACTCGATGAAAGTTAATGTATGAAGGCATACACTTAAATTGCAACGCTAATGAACTCGACCGATTTTCCGCTGACTGTTATCGGCAACAATTTTAAACATTGCAAAAGATAGCCTGCAAAACAATTTACATTTCTTATCGTCTCATGATAAATATTTTTAGCGAAATTCATGACTCGATTGCAGTTGATCTCTCTTTTATCGAATGTCAATGCAAATTTTTGCTTTAGTGTTAAAAATTTAGCGATAAAATTATTTTTATTTGAAATTTCTTAAAAATTTCTTCATATATATATATATATATATATATATATATATATATATATATATATCGTTATTTGTCGGCTTTCTCTTTGTTTATTTATCATTTATTTGCTATTCTTAAAATATCGCGATCATAGACAAATTTTTGATTTATAAAGGATTGGAAGGTAAAAGTATTAGGGAAAAAAAAATAATCACATAAATTAAGAGACCGTAATCTTTGAATTTTGTTCGTATTTACTAATTTTACCGTTGACATAGTTTTCTCTACTCTTTTTTCATCGTCGTAGAAATGATTGCTGAATCCACGATGAGCGAATTCGATGGATATGTATGTCGGCGCCGCTGGCATACATATACATGTGGCTTTTCGTTACCGGTGCATCGTCATGACTCCGGATACGGGACAGACGAGTTATTAAAGTGCTATTCACTACTTTAAGGTTCACTACTTTGTGGCGAGGACTTTTGCGTGTTCGATCTAGCCGGGGAAAGAGTCCCCTTCGATTAAGTCGCAAATGTGTATCGTATAAATAAACGAAGAGAATCACGTAAACAAATCTAAAAAATTGAGGTATTCCACACAATCATTATAAAAAAAAATTGTGAAAAAAAGATTCGAGAGACAGGAAATTTTTTCATAAGCCATTTAATCAATAATACATATTTATAAGTCAATACCATTAATTTAAACATGAAATCGGAATAAAGTTTGCACATCATTAAGTATAGTTTTTCACATTTAAAAAAAGACATTTAAATATATATGTTTTGATATTAAATAAATTTTTCATAAAGAGTTCTATAGAAAAACATGATATATAATATTTAGCTTTTTTTTCATATTTTTCATATTAAAAATACAAAATTTACATTTATTTGTCTGTCATAAAAATACCTGTCTACAACTATTAATCATTGAATCAAAAGAATGATAAACTTCGAAATAAATAAGTTTTTTGTAAAATATCTATGTTACGATATTAAATTATTTTTGTTGAAAGGAGATAATAGGAATTTCTGCTCATATTCATTAAAATATTTAAAATAAATTTTTGTTTTCTGTTTTTGCCTCGGTTTACAAACAAGTTCAAATTTTAAATAATAAAAGAATTGATAATTATGAAATTTTTTTATAATTCATTTATTTTGCATAATATAAATAATCGATCAATTTGTACAAATCGCTACAATAGACCATGGTATATATGATAGACATGGAACGAAAGATGAGGGATGGGAAATTGAAATAGATCGAGATTCCATGTAGCATTGGTATTTGCTGTGTTTCGAGAGATACGCGATCTTTTAACAGTTTATTTTAGGAACATACAAACACAAACATGATATATAAAAGCACCTTTAATCTTTGTCTTCATTACTGCTTAAGGTTATTCCTCGGATTAGCACACATTTATATTTATACATAAATATTTTTGCTGATTTCTTTGTTAAGCACTCGCAAAACTTTATGTCACGTTTGATATATTACCATCAGTTTAAAGAAAGGAAAAGCCAGCGCGACGACAAATATCAGCAAAAATTGCGTGCAAGCTCTGCGATAAATATTCAGATTGTAATTTTTCTGCATAAAATGCGACGCACGCATGACGCATAGACAATATATTTTCAAAATGTCATAGCACACAATTATTTATCTATCTTATCTTCTTGTGCCTCGATATTAAAACATATAAATATTGCATTCGCTGGAAATACACCCGAAAGCCGCTACAATTTTGTAGTACAAAGTTACATTTTGTCCGTAATATTTCAACATTCTTTATCATTTTCCTCTGTGTCTCTTAAAACGAGAGGGGGCCACGTTTACTCACCGATAAGTAGTGGCTCTATTCCGATGTAGATCCCTATTCCTGCGAAGCCTAAGTTGTAAAATAGATTTTAGTACAGCGGGCTCGCGCGCTCTCTTTACGCCTTTTTATTATATATATATATATATAATATAAAAATATATTTTATATAAATATATAGTAGACTTAGTGATTTCTTCCGATTTTTTAGTTGTATGATTTGTTTCGTCCTTGTTTGCCGGTCGTCATACGTCATATCAATTTTTCTTTAGCTTTTTTTTGGGCTTTTACAGATTGGTTCCCGAGGATGTGCTCCTGCATCGACGGCAATTCTACACTACCAAACAATCGAGCAGTCGGTCGAAATGCAAGTTACGAACGACTCGGTTCCAATCTCACAATCTTCGAACTTAATAGTCCGATGCGAAGAAGTCAAAGAGGAAACCAGGATTTGATCGACAGTGAAAGACAGGTTTGTGTCACAATATCTCGTGCTTAAATATTTGAAAAATATTTGACTAATCTTGAGTTCGGAAGAATCATGGAAATATTAAGTAGTAGCAATTTATATCTTGAATTTAATTCAGATAACAAATATGATTTATATATTAATAGAATTTATAATATATTTAATAAAAATCTAAAAAATCTAAAAAAAATCTCATGCATACATCATGAAGTAATCAAAATATTTTATTTAATATAGTTTCAATTTTTATTTATAAAATTATAAAGTAATAATAATTTATATAATTTTGATATTGATATAAGTATACAAGATAAATTTCATAATTTATTTATAATGTTAAATGTTATAAATTAATAGTTAAATGTTATAAATTAATAGAAACGCAAGAAAGATATTATTTATATATAATTGATCAAATAGACTTAACTAAATTAAAATTAATATACTTTTTATACAAGTTTATTGGAAAGGTGAATTATTTATAATAATATATGTTTTAAATATTTGTTTAACTAGGAAGAATTGCGATTTTATAACAACGATCACTCGTTTACAACTGTGGTTGTGGAGAAGGATCTACGGACGATCGATTTATGCGAATTACTCAAAGTCAAGAGAAACGTGATCGGCACTGCATGGTCGATAATTGAAATGTGGCCAAAATTGGGAATTGGTATGTACTCAGTAATTATTATTATAGATATCGACGTGTCATTATTGAGTAATATTTAACAATGAATAAAATAAGAGCTCTTCCTTATAAATATAATTAAAATAAGTAAACTTGGCAAATAAGTGTCAATACGCGCAACGATGACATACGAATAATATATTACTCCGAGTAAAATTCTAATTTTATTTAATTCCGATATTAAATAAGTTGTGTAATTTTATTCATGCGTGTAATATAATATTTACGCTTGTTATGCCTTAGCTCTTATTTGCTCGGTCTTTTTATTTTAATTGAGTAATATTTATTATTTATCTTTGTGATTTTTAAATCGACTCATTATCTTATCTTTGTGATTTTTAAATCGACTCATAATTCTGTACATTTTCTCAGAAATATGATTAAGAATCAATTAATAAACTCTCGTATATATACAGTTCATCATGAAATAATGCCTGCGATTATCTTTTATGTGATTATATATGTGATTTGTTATATCTACTTCTTGTATTATTTATTAATTATTATTGAACTTTCTCCATGAACTTATATTACTCTTTTTTTAAGAGAAGTACAAACATTTTGTATTTTATTTTTTATGCTCTTCGTACAGTTTTATATTTATATACTGCTAGAATGCATCAGTGTTTATATAATTCAAGACATAAACATTACAATTCTGTAACAATGATCATCAAATTAAACTTTATTTCGATATTTGGATTGTTAATGCATTTTTTATAAATTACATGAAGATAATATTAATACGAAATATATTATACGAACAAGGAAATACGAAGATTTGGCAATGATATTTTACAGTTATCATTAGCATTCACGCGATAGTTATTTTTGAACTCGGCAACCTATCAGATCTGATATTTCTTGTATGACGAATAATTTATTTATAGAAATACTGGCATGAAGTAAAAGACGGATTATTTATTAAAAATACGCATCATTCCGAAAAAAATAACGCGATTAAGACTAATCGAAAAAACTTTAATCGTCCAAATTCTCTCTATTGACTCGGAACAAGATCGGAAATAACGCGTGCATAGTAGGGAGAGGGGAAGGAGAACCGTAAAGACGCGGCTCTATAATGCAGCCGAGAATCAATAGCGGGCGAACCTCCAGGAGCTTGGTGCAGGTCAGAGACGCGATTCACCGTGCGGAATGTTTATTTAGAATCCTGGGCGAAATGTCACATCATTTTAGTCTAACATGCTTTCCACGAAATCATTTTTCTAAATTGATCGCATTAAACAAACCGATCTGTATCATATTTATAGATATAAAACTCGCTATAAAGACTTGATAAAAATATAAAAAAAAGAAAGCTTATATAAGATAAGAAAATACTGTAACTATTTGTCGTGTGCTAAAAAATTAATTCTATAATAAAAACGATCTTGTTTTACATCGATAATATTATTAAAAAATTAGATTATTATTAGATTATAGGAAAAATAGTTTACAAGAAAGAATAATCCAAGTATATATCGAAATTAATGCTTTTGTTACAGAACGTACATTAGAAGACCATGAAGACATTCTTGCTGTTCATACAGAACTGGAGATGTTTGCCTCGCGTTATGAGAGGAGGTTTTATTTTAATGAAGACTTCCTGAAATACGAACCATTCGTCGATCCTAAGGTAAACAAGAAGAATAATATTACTTTGTTTAAAAAAATTTTTTATAAAATTTATTTTCTTTAAAAAGCATATGTAAAAAATCAAAATGTTTCTTACATTTTCTGTTATTATTTACTGAATTGGATAGTGAATTATACGTGGTAACTTATCGACGATTTATCGAGATTCTTTGAAATACCGACATGTGTTAGTAAGAGAGAGGTTTGTCGATTCTACACGTTTTCGCAACTGAAGTTCGGAAATAATTGAAGAGTCCGACATTACCGACGAAAATTTATCCAAACTCGGCAGTATTACGGTGTTTGCGTGTCGGTATACATACCTTGTGAAATTTCTGCCCTCGCGTTTACCGACAAGTGGTACATTTTTTGACATCAAATTTGGTTAGATTTCGAAGAGGGCGCGAGAGATGCTGTCCGCGGATATCGGAAGTGACGAAAGTGTCGAGAATTCGGTAGTATTGATTGAACGTTCGCGTCCTGGCATTTTACAGGATTAAAATCGCATAGCATTGTTTTAAAAATTCAAGGCATCGAGACTTCATGGGGGATATAAACGGCGATAAAAATCGAACGAGATCTTGTAGATAGGTATTATTTTGCTGAATCTTAAGAATCTCATAAGAAACTAATTATAATATATAACTGATGCCGAGATTTAACGGCGTTTCCGAAATAGATTCACTAATTAGTACATACTTGAATCCCGATATCAATTAGTGGTTTGAAAGTCAGTCAGCCATGGGGTCATAAATCTTGTAACTTGGTCTTCGTTTGACGATGATTGGCCAATTAAAGGATAACGAGCGCAGAAGCTAAAGTTCGGAAACTGAATATCGTAGTCAACGTCCTCCAGAGAAAGGAATTTCTTGGAATATTTCTTTTTTTATAAAAGAATAGAAATCTCTTCTATTAAACCATAGAAATTTTTGAAGATTTTTAAAAAATAATTTTTAACTACTTCCAGAATTTGAGATATTTGCGAAATAACGAGATTCCTTTTACTGTTTTTGAAATATTTCATAGAGAAATTCGTTTCCGTATTATTTCTCTGCGAATAATTTTTCCCATTTTTCAAAATGCTTGGATGTTTTTATTTTCCAATATTTATTGCAAAATATAAAAAAAGCGATATTTTAATCTTTTACAGCAATTCTTTCCTCCCGATATGGTCACTTTTCCCTGCGGAGAGGACAGGAGCACAATTATCGATGCTGAGAGTGCGTTAAGGGTGAGTGATTCTTTGAAATCGCAACAAATCAAAATAGTGTGTCGACTAGAATGGAGCACAAATACATGTTTTATTTTCATTGCAGAATTATTTGTTACGAGAGGACGGTGAGTGTCCACAAGTATTCAGCATGGTGTGGATGCGACATGTGAACTCAAACGGTTGGAGAAAGATCTACATGTTGCTTCGAGACCGGAAACTCTACACAACGAAAAAAGTGAGTCTTTTGAAAATTTACATACATAAGAAATATATGTATGAAATAATCTTTGTGAGGGATTTTAGTTGAAAGTTACATACATTTTGCGAGTTTTCTCTCTGTTCTTTTTGTGAATCACACATAATTTTGAATAATGACTTTTAAATATTTTGCGGCGAAAAAATTTCTCATTAGCAGCTTAATGTAAATGTCCACATTATCTGCCATTTTGCCAGCTGACGCAAAAGAATATAGAAAGACATTACATAAAGAAGCACTGTTTCTCGGTGTTAATAAGTGAACATATATTCTATTTGATGATTAATATGTTAACATGAAGTGACGGCGAGTTTCTCTTCTTTCCTACACTCGATTATCTTTATACGATCATGGTAGAAAATCTCGCGAAGGAGATCGGGTTCTTACTGACTCATCGTCGGTGAAACGTTCTTCAAAGTCCGAGTAAGCGATTCCTAGATGATAAACAGTCGTCAGGTTCTACGTGCATTGGCAATCGTTCTCGCAGGTGTTAATACTTTTCTCAAGGACTTTGCGGAGCCATCCGTATGGATGAGTCACGACGTTGCCGGCAATTTATTTATAAGTCATTAAGCGACATTAACATGTAACAGCTGGGACGCTTTTGTGGCAAAGATATAACAAAGAATGAACCACGGTCTTTTTATAGAAAAAAAGAAAAAAAACTTTATCGATATATATACATATATAAAAACATTGCGGTACATAAATACGCTACGGAATTTATTCAGTAAATTTCTCTGACGGTTTAATATTGATGTTTATTTAATTCGGTTCTTTATTCGCGAGATACGGCACGATAATTTTGGTTGAAAGAAATCAGCTGATACGGAATAGGCACCTTATTCTCTTTTTGCCTTTCGCGCGAATTATCCCACGATGTGTCTAGAGTTTGATAGTAATATTTGGTATCCCGCTCGATCATTAAGTCAATTCATTTGCATAATTAACACCATGCGATACGCCGGTAACGCCTTCGCGGTTCATTCGCTAACCGATACCCGAAGCGCAAAGCAGTCATTTTCGAGATAACTAGCGGCTAGTTAATGTACGGTGATTTTGAATTCAGCCCGTAGGCGTGGCAGCGTTTGTTTTAAAATTAATTTTATTCGATTATCGATTCCGCACGTATGATCAGTAGTTACTGGTGTGTCCGCTGTTAAAACTGACGCGTGGAATGATCGCTTCGCGGACACGCTTCCGAATCGCGCGTCATTAATCGCCATGTATTAAGCCAGAATCGTATCGGCGAACGAGCGATTATTCGAATATCCCGAGGAAAAAAAATCCACGTGCGCATAAAATATCGAGTGAATTACGACCGCGATCGTTTCACGGCTGGTGATACATCTAGTTAAATAACGATAGCGCGACGAATTATTACAGACACATTCGTATACACAGTCCGACCGCGCATGTGAAATATTATCGCTGAATATTCACCCGTTATCTGCGTATATCAATACTTCGGTAATGCCCGCTAATATTCTATTTATGACGCGCTATAGAATAAAAATACTTAATGTAATTTACGTTGTACTATTTTATATCTAATCAATATTTATTCTAAAGTGTGTATTTGACATGTGACTATTTTTTTTTTTTTTTTTTTACATAACGCACGTATTCTGATTTTTTAACGGATTCACAAATTGATCAGTGCCGGTATCGTTAACAAATTTAATTATTAATGAAGTTTCTTTCGCGGAGTACAAGTGCAGGAATGCGGTTTTTCTTTTGCCGTCCGTGCCACGCCGGAGAACTGGTTTGAAACGCAAATTGATTGGTTTCGCGCTTGGCGTTGAGAGGCGCATAACATTATGATTTAATTATTTCAAGCTCCATCGCTTCCAACGATATCAGCGAGTAATATCTTGTCGGATGAAAGCGTTGTTCCGTAAAAAAGACATGCTCGTCGTCTTTGTTGCCGCTTCGCTCCGACACCTCGATACAAGATACCATAAGTATATCATTAATATGATGGGTGATGTAACATCTTGATAAAGTAAAGGATTAATCCCATGCAATGACAGGACGGCTTACGATAGTCGCTTATCGCGATTCGACTCTCACCACATGTAGCATATATGTATCTTGCAAGTCGGATTTTTTCGCCTTTTATTCTACCTCTTAGTCTCGATATCGCTCTTATATTTCTTTAGAGGCGCGATTTTTTTCCCTCGTGAATCGCAGAAGTTTATTTCTGAAATTAAGTTTTGTTGAAATTTTATGAGAGACGTTCAGTGAACTCGGCTTGTTCGAATAAGGGTTAATTACTCTTGGAAAGTTTCTCAACTACATCTTTTCTCGACCAAAACGCCGAGGCGAAATACGCTCGCAATTACACTCGCGTTACACTCGTCTCTGTCCGTCTTTATCGCGCGCACTCGATCGATTCGGTTAAGTTGCTCTCACGTGTACGCGAGAGAGAAGACGTCTTTTTCGCCACCGCCAATTTCTTCGTCAGGCGTCATCAGGCTCCTCGATATTATACATTAAAGACCACACGCGAACATTAGCCATTCGTGCACACATGGAATGGATCGCGGGCATTGTATGGATATTGCACGTATACGCTCTCGTTCAATTGTAATCGCAAATTGCACCGCGCGGAATTCCATTGTTCTTGAAATAATTGTCTCATTCGTTAGTTTCAAACTCGTCTAATACTTGAAGTTTACCGGAAAGGAGCAAGACGCGAAGCAATTTGAACTTCGTTATTGTATAATTTAGACGTATGTTTTCTTATCTAACTTTAAAGACGTACAGGAAAAATGAAATAATCACGCGATCCGAGCAACGCGGGTGACTTCTCGCGTTAGGAAACTAGCGGGATGGGAAGCTCTCTCGGGCGAGGTAATGGAAAAGAACGCGACAATTGTGTGCGAAAACGAGGGTGGAGAGATACCGATGCTAAAGAATACGGCTTCAACGTGAATAATCCTTACCAGCCTTAGCGTTCGCGCTATTTCGGTCCTCTCGGCGAATAATTTATGAACTCTAACCGCGGCAGCGCCTTATCTCGAGCAACCTGCTCGAGATATCCCCGGACGCGATGTACGTTCGCTTCCTCTTAATTTCTAGCCCGCGCACTCTGTTCCTCAGGGAGGTGTCATCGAGAGACGTTACCGAAGCTTTAACGTTAGACCGCCTTTTATGACGGTCGTTCGCCGCGGCGAACGAGTCTTGTTTATTGTTCTTTGCGGACGTATCAACGAGAGTGCCGCATGTAATATGCACATTCAATATACGTTGATGCACTTTGGAGAGCCAAAATAAACCCGCGTCCTCTTATCATTTTCTTGTCACACGTATGCATCTTTCAAGATATTGATTTATCGCGGCTTCTATTTTACGTTACGCTTTATCACAGGATGCATCAAAAATACCACAAAATTTCGTAGCTCCTCTCTTTATTTTATATACTTTATATATTATATAATTTTTAAATAAATTTAAAAAAGATTTAATTTTGCATCTAAGGGAGTTGATATATACTCGCTCGGATACGTTAGAAAGTAATTAATATTAGATATAATTAAATAAATATTAAATAATATTAGATATATAATTAAATAAATATTAAATAAATATTAAATCATATTAGATATAATTAAATAAATATTAAATAAGATTAGATATAATCAAATAAATATTAAATAATATTAGATATAATAAAATAATTAAAATTAGATTTCGAAAGAAATTAAATTTGTGAACTCAAATGGCCGCATTAAATAAGATTGCGTCGATAAATTACTTGTATTAAGTAAAAACATTGACGTTTATACGTTCGATTTATTGAAAGTCGCGCCGATGTCCGACGTTTTTATTGCCAGGCAACTCTCAGGATTCGCCATCCCGGCTACGTTTACCCCCTCGCGGAGTCCGACCTCATCCCCGCTAACCCCCTTTTTCATTTCCTCCCTCGCAGTAACGGGCGTGGCCCCGTTATCGCGGAAACGTACCCGCGACGGCAGGATAATTCTCTGTCCGCTACGTACGATCAATTTTATCGGCAAAAAACTTCCGAGCGGGGGCGAACCCGGGAGATCCCGGGGAGAAGAAATATTGTGCGCGTTTCCCGTAGAAATATAAATACTCTTTCGCGCGCTGGCTATCGGCGGACTTAAACGAGTTTCGTTACTTAACATAATTGCCGTGCAACATCGCCGCGAGAAATGTCTCGCATGTGAATCGACAAACGAAGAAACGATGAAATTGCCAGTAGGGGAGTGTACTTTACGATCACGATGGTTCGCTCTTTCAATTCGTCCTTACTTTTCTTCTGTAAATTCATCGCAAGTACGGTAATTGCGTTAACGCGTGATGCATGGTGTGCCGAAAGAAAAATGGCCGATCGTAGAGATCTTTGGAAAAAAATATTCGAGTAACTTTTTCTAATATTACGAAGATCAACGAGAATATTTAACAAAATATTTGATAAGAAGAAAGAGAGCGAGATATTTTGGAAATAATAATTTTGAGGATTATCATGTTCTATTATATTTTTTATTTTTGAAGAACGGCAAAACTTGATTTATTTCTCGATAATACGTACGTTTCGCCATTCGTTTCAATTTTTTTTTATTCAAGTCTTGTGCAATGACGCCCGCGGTGAACAATGAGATTATGTAACGCCACGGCTAATGTTCAGGGCGTTTGCTTGCCGCCATCAACCCGTTCAACGTCACGGAGCGAGAACCTTGACGCTGTCAATCTCGATTTACACGTAATAACATCCGCGCACGAACGCACGCTGAGAACGAGCCGATAGATAATTTCGATCTGGTCCGATACGATCGCACGAAACGAATTGGATTGAAAATAAACGCAGACGCTCATACATATGTATATATGTATATAGGGTGTTTTTTAATAAGTGTGAAAAATTTTAGGAGACGATTCTTTGTTGAAAATTAAGGGGGGTTTTTCATATAAACATATACTCCTACATCCCCTTCCCTGTGAAGTTACAC